TGCACTTTCTGTTCATGGCTGAATTGGTCACGATGTGAGCTGAGTTGTCCGTGGGCGTTTTGTGGGCGTGTAACGGGCGCCGGCGGCGGTGGAACTAGCGAGAACAATGAGCTGCCGTCTGAACCTTGTTATTCTGGTAATAAACAGATGCAGCTGCTGGGGTCATTAACGTCATCTTTCTGACGCACCGATGACGGCTATGACGCTAACCTATGACGCACTTATCGGTTATCTAACCCGCCAATTGAATTGCGGATTTCCGTCCGAACGAAACTCGGGCACAATGGTGAAGAAAGCTACATGTGCGTCGTTACCGATGAGAAGCGCCGTTACCGTTACCGCTCGCTGGTCCATGAACTTTCTAGAATAACGAAACAAAGTTGGGTGTTAATTTTTTACGCCAGAAAGTAAAAGCGAAGTTTTAGTTTTCAATGTACCGCAACATGAGGAAGACAGTGCTTCCTAGACCACCCTATAACATTGTTTCGTCACTGATTGCTGTTTTTTTACGAACATCTTTCCACATCGATCACCTCTAACCGCCATTGTTTCGTCTCCCCCAGACATTACGCATCCGATTCCGGATCTGACCGGATACATCACCGAGGGTCAGATCTACGTGGACCGACAGCTGCACAACCGGCAGATCTACCCCCCGATCAATGTGCTGCCGTCTCTCAGCCGTCTGATGAAGTCGGCCATCGGCGAGGGCATGACGCGCAAGGACCACGCCGATGTCTCCAACCAGCTGGTGAGCACGTCCGCGGCTGTGCGGGATTATATATGCTGAGCGTGTTGGGATGGGAGGTAGGGACTCCTGTAGGTTCGCTCTGGATTCCGTTAAAAGTTTGCGTAGGGGAGAGCGGGGTCATTTGGCCGCCCGGGTCACTTTGGCCGCCCCATGCCTACGCGTTTTGACGGTCCCGAGGGATTATTTTTAAATATGGCACCATCCGACGTCATAAGAGCTACTTTGGAAAGAAACTAAGGAAACTCGGCGACGCCCAGTTTTTTTTTGTAAAGCCAACGATATTTGAATTTTTGCTAAAAAACGTAACTTTTTCTTCTTTACGAAAAGTTGCATGGTGTCCCTAATTTGGGTGACATCAAAATTTTAACCCTATTGGTAGAACAATCTGGTAATTCAGGGAGCTGTCTGACCCTTTTGCAGGTTTAAGTGACAATTTTTGCTTGTCTGCGGATCCCTTTTTCTAAAAATGTCATATTGGGGTAAATTGGCCGCCCCATACGGGGCGAATTGGCCGCCCAGCGACTCGGTTGATTCTTTGCCTAGTCTGCGAGCGACGCGCTGCGCTGGCTAAGTTCTGCCGCTGAGGATGGTAATGCGGCGCAGTCTAAATGCAAGGGACGACCTAACCAAGGTGTCCGCTGATTGGCTTTCGGCACCAGGTGACAGATGGTGAACCCGGGACGTCACATCGACCTCTACCAGGTGGCGCCGATTTTTCGTCGTGCCTAAGACTTCACGCGGAAAAACATCCTTAAGGGATTCGAAGCGGCCGGGATATCGCCGCTCAACCGGGATATCTTCGACGACGAAGACTGCGCCGACGGCGGTCTTCGCACCGGTCGTCGCCCCAGCGACGGCAGATCAGCACGCCACGGCCCCGGCCGTGCTCCAGCCGCCTGCCGCGGCTGTGCTCCAGCCGCCAGCCCCGGGGCCGGCCGTGCTCCAGCTGCCTGCCGCGGCCGTGCTCCAGCCGCCTGCTGTCGCCGTGTCTTAGTTGCTTGTCGGAAGCCCAGAGTCCATCCGACCACTTCCGCAGCTGCGCATCAACGTTCGAAAAGCCGGTCGGAAGAAAGGGCGTTCTAAAATCATGACTAACAGCCCGTAGCGGACGGCTTTGGAGGACAATCAACAGGCACGTATGGCGAGGAGCAAAAAGCGGGGTCCACAAGCTGGACCGTCGAACCATCTGACGTCGGGAGCTGGACCGTCGAAGAAACAGGGGCGCAAAGGTGAAAAACAGTGAAGCGCAGTGATGACTGGACAATGGACATGTGTCCATGCCGTCGGGACCGTATTTTACAGTGGATGTGTTTAAGTGCTGGGTCGAAGACCCAGAGCTGGAATCGTTTTTATTTCATGTTTACGACAGAGTTTGAAATAAACAAACAACTCGTGCACAAAGGACTTTTTCGCAGTGCGATTGTCGTCTAAAGCAATCTACGATTTGGCGGCCATTACAGTTGGCTGTTGTTGTCACTGGGCAGTGCTCAACTCATGAGTCGTAAGCTCGTAAATCAAATGTGGCTCCTCACTTGCACTGATTCAAATGAATCGAGTGTAAGCCTAGTCCTTTGAAAAATTAAGAATTTCAGGCGAATCAAAGATGAGTCACGATGCTCATCATTTGTGTCAGCATTGGGGCATCTGGATCGTCACATCAGTCATGCGTCGAATCAATCCAGGATTCATGAGTTAAGCATAATCTTGAGCGTCAATATTTCAGGTTGTCTCAGCTCTGTAATGGGTATATCTCTGAATCACATGCCCGGCCAAATGACCCCACTCCCCCGGCCAAATGACCCCGGTACCGGGGTCATTTGGCCGCCGTGCAGTCTTTGAAAGAACGGTTAATTACTACCGAAACGAGATGTCCCTGCATGATGCAAGTAATAGGCCGGAACAACAATTGAGCGCCCCACACCCATCCATGGAGAAATCGACCAAACGCGCACTGGTTTTCTCAAAATATCGTTTTTACAAAAGGGCGGCCAAATCGCCCCGTTCTCCCCTATGTGCGCTCTTGCTGGTAGTTTTTGATTATACGTTTGCCGTGTTCAAGGAGTTATTTGTCTATATAGATCGAGTATGAAAAGCTGCGGCATGTGGGCTGGAATCCAGTCGTACTTCGGTTTACTTTCACACGTAACGTCGAGGGGAGGGTGAAGGAAGCTCATCTGCAGAGCTATTTAAGGGGCACTCATTTAAAATCGCCACTTTAACTTCGGCATGCGTCGGTGACTTCCTGATAGTTTTGTCACTCTGAATAGGCACGTTAAATGATGTGCGTCGATAGTTCTGACTCAGTTCAAACTTATACTTTAAGCCGTTTTAAACAGTTAAACTTAAGCCGTGGGCGGAAATGTGCAGCTAATACGTGGTCTCTCTCTCTCGGAGGAGGGTGCTGTGCGTTTTGACATGGCTGCGAGTATGAAACTGGGGGCTTTGTTCAGAGTTTTCCCGATGCGTTCTCTGAAATGAACTTTGCAGCAAATGGACTTGCGTAAGAGCACTTAAATATTCAAAATATACTGCGCATTTCCTTAGAGATAATGCGTTAATTTAGGTCAGCCGTAACTGTGGATCTTCATTTTCTGTAGTTTTAGTGAGACATTATTACTATGTAGCCGCACTTCCTGTAACCCTAAATCATAATCACCATTCTTTACATCCCCCATTGCCCCACGCCGGGCGTATCTCACCACTAACGCCCTGTTCTCCTGTGCTCTCTCAGTACGCGTGCTACGCCATCGGAAAGGACGTGCAGGCCATGAAGGCTGTCGTGGGAGAGGAGGCCCTGACGGCCGACGATCTGCTCTATCTCGAGTTCCTCACCAAGTTCGAGAAGCACTTCATCACACAGGGTGAGTCCGAGTGGTGGATGGAAGAGTATAGAGGTCCAGTGTCGAGCGGCGCGTCAGAATTGATGGAATGAAAGCCGTTGATCAGTCGTGGGTCTGGTATTAGGTAATAGTGCCTGTTAGCGACTACGCTGTTATCGTTACTCATTGCTATTAATCGCCTATCTGATCATGTAAAGCGATCTGATGCGTCGTAACATTTGCAGCAGAGGAATATTTTTGTCATAAGCCGATAAATGTCAGGTGCCAGAGTCGCCAGCTGGGTTACCTATGCTTAACTGAAATGGGAAGTCATTACGTCATTTCGAAAGTTATGTTTTGTCGTGGGACTGCGTAGTTAGGTGCTGAAAAGCTGCGACAAAATTTTATGCTGACTCGGCCCATGACCACTAGCCACTTTACGAACGTGGCTTCGGCGTTTTTTATTTTTTATTGTTCAGACTGGCAGGCTCATTTGTTTGCTTGTCGCCCCCCCCCCCCCCTCTTTGGCTTCCGTTCTTTCAGTATTTTCATGCTATGAGAAGCGCCGATTGAGGTGTGCTGTGTGAAGCACATCCATCACGCTACTTCCCATGACACTAAATGATTTCACTTTTCGTACATCTACTAGCAATGGCACCTGACTCAGATGAGTGTTGTCGTTTTTGACGCACCAATAATCTTCACGTCTGCCTTCCTTTTGTAACCGGCACTCTGTCTTCGCCAGGTAACTACGAGAACCGCTCGGTGTTCGAGTCGCTCGACATCGGATGGCAGCTGCTGCGTATCTTCCCCAAGGAGATGCTCAAGCGAATTCCGGCCAGCACCATCGCCGAGTTCTACCCGCGTGAGAACAAGAGCACTGCGGATAACAACTGAGCAGCCAGCGCCGCGCCGTGTGTGGTAGGTCAACTTCAGTCTCCCGCAATCGCCGCTAGGTGTCTCTAAAGTGCACCGCCGCGTCAAAGTGTGAGTTAATTTTCGGCCATTTGGTAGACCGTGCCCAGTACGTTTTTATCGGCACGTTTGTGCGAATTCGTTTTGAGGTATGTATATTTGTTACCGTTCAAAGCCATGGCCTTGTACATATATTGGCGATAGGTGGATCATATATGTCGAAGGGAGCGCGGCTGGTCCAGTGGCCAGTGTGTGCCTGTGCGCCCTGTCCTCAGTGTGAGCGTCTTGTGTAGATAGTGCGAATTGCGTCGTCGATATACATTCCATGTGGGTGAGATGCGTAGCTTGACGGCGCGCGTCTAAGTGATGGATCACATTCAGTTATAATTTGCTGAAGACGGTCAGCAGCCATAAATGTATATCGACTGGAATCAGTGGCTGACGAGGCCCGGATGAATGTAGTGAACGATCATCTTGTGTGGCTGATGATGGAAAAATATACACTATACACAAACTGACATGGGAACTCTTCATTGGCCAAGTTAGCTATCGGATCATGAAACCGAGGAAGACCATCACAGAAAAAAACATCAGTTTACCGCATTTAAATCACAAACACTGCATGCAATTGACTGCACGCACATTGTGTTATCACACGCACACCAATGATCTGTGGAACTCTGGGTGGACGGCGCACCACGCTGCCGATCGGGCATGGGCAGTTGATGTCCCGTATCCACCCGACTTATATGGCAAGCCGGCGTTCGCAGCCGTGCAAACATCCTCAATCTTCGACTCCTGGCCGCTGTGGATGGAGGATTGATGGATTAATTAAACTTCATTTTTTCTACATATTGGCAATACTTATGAAAAACAATAGCGACATGATCGACCACACTGCTGAGATTGTACGAAATTACTATTATGTTGGCCGGTCCCGTTCTGCTGCACTCTTTCCCCTGCAATAACGGTGGATTCGTCGCATCGTTGTCGTTTACCTTGATAATGGTGCCGCTTCTGCGGAGGAAGGAGAGCAGCAGCTCCTTGTTCTCTGTGAGGAACTTGAGCTGGCTGCGCTGCAACTGCTTCCGCTGCTCCTTCAGCCAGATGGCCCTCTGCTGGTCAATGCACGCCATCGCAAACAGCTGCGAAAGAAGAGTCGAGGATGATCGTACCCGGCCGTGGTTGAAAATAGGCACTTCATTACATTCATGTCATAAGATTAATTATTTCAAATTCATGTACCGTTCTTTCACAGGCTAGCTCTCACTAGCTCATGTCCAATTCCCGATGAATCAAATGCCATTGGGATGTCGCAGAAAACAGCTGCCTCCCCCCCCCCCCAAATATTCCATTTATATCGAATTGATCGCTTTGCTTTGAGAATATCGTAACATGGCCTACTTCTAGCCGGGCGGCTACCTTGAACTCCTTGAAGTCGAGCTCTGAGTCTCCAGACACGTCGAACTCCTTGAAGATGGAGCGGATGGCCGTGCTGTAGAAGTTGAACATGAAGCCGATCCTCTCGAATTCCTCGGCCGACACAGAGCCCGACTGGTCAAAGTCCATGATGTTGAACACGGCCCGCGAGTGCCGGTAGATAAACTCCTTCTCCACTTTGTCCTGTGGACAGAGAATGTGAACAGAGAAACGCCAAAAACTTGTGTTGTTTTGTGAGATACGTTTATCTGTAATAGGCAGCGAAGTCCTTTGTATCAAGAGCTGATAAGCATCGTCGTGTTTACGGATAAACTCTTTAGTGCAAGGCTGACGAGTATCTCTGTCCAAAAGTTGTTTTATAGTCGAGCCGTATCGTGCACAATGCAGCATAATGATAATAAATGTGGCTTGTCTTTCCTGGTAAGTCGAGCTAATGCATTACAAATTAGCTATAATATTGGTCCGTCATCTTATAGGTTTCACATCACGCTTATCAACTCCTGTCCCACATTTTGCATACTTTGACGGCGACCAGTATGGCGATGACCAGGTAGAACTCGTCGAAATCGATCTCTCCGGATCGGTCGACGTCGAACAGTTCAAACAGGTCGTATACCTGGTGGCCCTTCAGGTTTGTGCAGCTGCGCAGCCAAGCGCAGAATATGACGTCTGGGGGCACAAGGGAGGGGGTATAGGTCACACGTTTTAGCTGACCAGTCGTACCTACTTCTGTCATCACATTCGGAATTAAGAGAAAGTGTATGACTAGGGTTTGACTTTTGCAGTTTGGTTAAAAAATGCGATTATAGTTGAGTTTACACATACACATACATACAGGGTGGTTACACATACAGGGTGATTTTTTTTAACTGTTAAAAAGTAAACGTCAATGGTGGCCCCTAAATCGAAAAATCGCGTGCAAAAAAGCAATGCACGTGATAGATAAATCTGGGACATTATGTATGGTGTCATCATTTGTCCCTTTTTTTAACCGACGGCCTCGGCCCCAATGGAGCCTGAAAATGTCCCACCAATCGGGCACGCATGGTCCACCGCCGTTCAGTAAGGGACGACACAAAACGATGATTTTGAAGCATTGAGGCAGTTCGAAGCATACGATGATCAAGGAGATACCTCAGAAAGACGTTAAATAACGCATGAACAAGCTTGTAGTCATAAATAATCTTCAAACGGTCCATCTGGCGTATGAGCAGCTTTTGAAGAATCAGTCTTCAGGGAGAAAGAAAAACAGCGAATCAGACACCACCAGGGCCGCCAGTATCAAAATCCTCGACCTGCCCTCCCTAAGCTTCTACAGCATTTTAGGCGCAATTTCAAAAAGTTAAAGACCAAATTCAAAACGTTCACGTGCATTTTGAATGTAAACTTTTTGAATTTGGTCTTTAAATTTTTGAAATTGCGCCTAAAAAGGTGTAGTTTTTGGACCCAGCTATGGCAGATATAACAAGAAAACAGTGGAGATATCTGGCAGAGCTGAAAATGGGCGATAGGAGCCTTTTCAGTCCGCCTAATGAGTATGGGAGTCCATGGTGCTGTTCAACACGTGCTCAGGCGGGCTGATTCGTGTCGGTGAGAGAGGGGGTAACTTCAAGCACAAGTAAAATACACGATGGACGTTCCTTCACATTGTGTCTGCATGAAATCAAGGAAATCAAAATGTCCCAGAATGCTCGTCATCCTGGCATATAATTTTGCAAGATATATTTGCATTTTAACCCCACTAGACCTCATTACTTTTTAACCCTATTAGTGGCAGGGGGGGGGTTGTTTTTATCCACCCCTCAGGTTTTTCGGGAATATCTCCGAAACCGCTGAAGCTACGATGCTGAAATTTTCTGACTTTTCCTAAAACTAATTTGGGCACATTCCCTGAAAATTTGAAGTTCATAACTTTACCAGGGGCGGCTCCAGAGCACTGGGAATTGGGGGTCCTATTCGTGAAGCGAGTCATTTGGGCGAAGATCACGATGCTGCACCAGTTTTACGAACAGTGAATGAAAGGTATCATGTGATAACATATACAAAGTTATTGTGCATCCTCTTTTGACACGTTTTTGCTATAATAGGCGGATCCAGGCGTCCAAAAAGGGGGGTTATTTTTTACCTCCCAACATAGGTTCCCTGACACCGCCTATGCATGACCAATACAATTTTAGTCGTTCTCTCATAAGAAAATTGTAACATAACAAGACCATTGCCACCCTTTTTAGAAACAGTACCAACAAAAACCTTATTTACCATACTTTTTGTGTACCCCCAATCTCAATGATCTGTATCCGCCTATGATTTTTGAAAATGCATATTTTTAGGATCCATGTGAATTCCTGGTTCATTCTCTATCGATCGGCAAAAGTTGCGTTAAGATTGGTTCAGAAACCTGGCCGTGATAAACAGTCTAAAATGTATCTGCAATTTGCCCGTTTTTACCCCCCTCTACCCCCCTATTGACATTTTTAATTTTTTTTTTTTAGAAATGTAGATCTCGTTGAGCCAAATCGAATGCCGTTTGAATTTTGAAAATCGGCCGGTTAGATCTCGAGATATCAAGGGGGGGTCGTAAACAGCCCCCCCCCCCCTGCCACTAATATGGGGTAGCCAGGAGCCTGCCACTAATAGGGTTAACAAGTAATAAAATCACCCTGTATGTAGGAGAATGTGAGAACGTGAGCAACGTTTGATCGCGAGACTGAAACCAGCCGGCTGAGCCATAAGCTCGATTTTTCAAATTGTGCATGTGCGTCTGCGTTGTGAACACAAATGATCATATGCTCGGTGATGTGCATTTGTTATCAACGTGCGCTTATGTTCATCATAGTTTTGTAAATGTACGCTGATTTTTCATGCTCAATCCCTTGGCACAACACCAGCCGATGATATTCGATGATTGCCAGCCTCTCGGCTAAATTAGAATGATGATCGATTTCTCAGTCTTTTGAGGCCCCACCCTTCCTGGTAGGCATTCCGCATGCAGTATGCACTTACCGTTAATCGCTGATGTACCGTGAATATCAAGCAGGTTGAACAATTCCATGCTGAGAACGGCTGATCGCACTGTCATCAGAGAAAAACTTGGATCCAAGTGAAATGATTTCAGCAGAACAGATCGGACTTCCATGATGTGCACTCAGTTGGTGGCTTGATCTGTGACGTTTTTGTGTGAGCTTTACAGTGTTTATACTTTCCCTATCTTATTAGCCTGATTAAACGTTATGGTTTCTAGCAAATTCAGTCGGGGCCTCTGTTCTTGTTTCACGCTTTGTTCCAATCAGGGCACTAAGTTCCAATGCTGTTTCATTCAGGGTATACCTAATGAATTAGGGTTTTATTGTCATTGCCAATTTATTGCTATGACAACTTCGATCAAGTGCTAAGGAACCTGCGAAGTGAAGAAGGTGCTCTATTTTCATGTAGGGTGAAGTCGTATAAGAGTACGCACTTAGTGGATTTCTTGCTCTCATTTGTTTAATATTTGAAAGGAAGAAATCGCAAAAAGGGAATATTAAAGTTCATTGAATTAGCCATCAACCCATGGGACAACGATCCTTCAGCGTAAATGGAAGTGGTCTAAAACTGACATTTTCTGAACCGCTGCAGTTGCGTACTCTTACCATATGGGGTGTGTAAGAGTACGCACGCCAGGCGGGTGGAGTACGCAAGCATATGAACACACACCTATGCAGCTTGTACTGTCCAAATGCTTAACTTCAAACTCAGAAGGCATTAAGTTAATTCTAGTATCCAAAAAGAAAAACAAAATAAATATTTCAAGTCTATAAATCAGGAAATAATCATGTCGTGTGTTTCTTAAAAAAAAAAATGCACAATTAAAAGGGAGAATAACTCGTATTTGGAAGAATTTCGGGTACGCATCTGCATCACAGTGCTCCATTGATGATAAACCTACAAAACAAACGTCATTGAGCGATAGATTAATAATTTTATATTTCTGTATATTCGATTTAATGTATAATTCTGCGTACTCTTACCCTCCTGAACAGTGCGTCTTCTTACCGTACATGCAATTCGCGCACAAAACAACCCCGAAACGTTGTGCAAAACTTTGCAAACAGAATATTGCACTGCACAGTATTTCCCCAGATAACCTCACAAGTTTCCCACAACAATCACGGAAATGTACCTTATCTCAACTGCCAAGTATCAAAATTATTGTACCATACCATAATAATATCATAACACTCGAAAATAATATTCATCGCCTTAAACTCAACAGCGTCGCCGCTCAACGCCCACGTTCCGTTGGTGACAAGCACGCACTGGCGGCTTCATGTCACTTCATGAACTCGACAAACCCGCGTTGCTAAGCAACCGAAACAGCTGATGCGTACTCTTATCGCCCGCGTACTCTTACCCGCCCTTACCCTACTCATAACCAACTCATATAACCTCAGCGTCAATGTGAAATAAGGCAGTGTTCCAAACCTTGTGCTAAGTGATTTATGCGAGGATGGAATCCTTTTTATTATTTTGCGACAAGGGCCACTCATTCAATAAATGCATCATTTCTTTAGGGCTCTGTCATTCTGATTTATAATCTACCGATGAATAACCCCCTAATTAGCTATACCTATTGTAAATAAGACTCATATGTCATCCTATTACCTTTGGTTGCCTGGGCTATCAGCCACAGAGGTTACATACAGGGTGTCCCATAAGTTCGTTCTCACCTTACATTTGCATGTAAAACAGAGAACATTGCGTTTTGATATGTTTATGACCCCTCAATGTGCTCCCCATTTCATAGGCAAACACATGAATACATGCTGCGGCATGCCAACCGGCATGTTTGGCAGCATAGCAGGCTTGAAGTTAGCCCAGACTGACTTGGCATGCGCCGTGAGCTCCTCGAGGCTGGAACAGCGCTTCGCTTCGACGAGCCTCGATTTCAATATTTCCAACACATTTTTATGAAATTTGGATCCGATGAGTTGCCTGGGATGTGATCTTGCCACAGATGCCTATCACAGTCTCCTGGCACTGCTTTCAAGCTTTGCTTGACCTCTGCACTGATGCACTGTCTTGCTTGAAGATAGGCCTACGACCTCCCGAATGCCATTTTCTCCTCCAAAAATGTGTTCATACTTGCGGTTCGAGTTGAGCTAGAAGGCTGAAACTCCTCCTAGATCTTCTTGGAGAAGCATTCTGCGTCCCAACACTGTTTCTGGAGTATCAATCGCAACCTGCTCAGCGTCTGGACGCATATTACCCCACATTACCATGACCCTGGCCTTTTGCATAGGATTAAAGCGGGATGACACGAAGGCCTTTTCCGTCGCCCATATGGGACCGTTTTGGGGTTTGGACGGTTGTTTTATCTCGAACACGGACTAGGTAGTCCAGATGACCACATTGATGTCATCGGCCCTCCAGTTTTTTAGCCTCAGGCATAACGAAACAAATGTTTGGCCATTTTAAGACATTTTCGACTGTTTTGCGTCCTCCGTTAAGTTTAAGCCCAAGTGACCGTGAGTTATGTACTCCGAAATAATACTCTTAGACAGCTGGTAATCCATTCTGAAAAGCCTGCTTACCAACTTTCTAACGCTAAGACCTTTTTGACGGCCACTTTGGCGCCACACAGTTTTGACCACATGGCACACTCCTGAGAGCTGACAAAAAAGAGCATAAACTTGCAGCGATTGACTCCCGACAAATCATCGGTGTCACTTGCTGACTGTGCGTCCAGTTAGCGACAGACATTGGCTACAGACTGGATGCCTCAATCACCCTCAACCGTCGCAAATGGCCCACGTGCGGACTAAATACCGAGACGTACCCGTATCGGAGACCTCTATGTTGCGGCGTAAGCCGTCTCTACAGGAAGTGAACTCTCTAGCAAAAAATATTTTGTCTAGACGAATTAGTTACCGTGGAGCATATTCACAGTTACCATAGCAACCCCAAAAGCTAAGTTACAAAATAAATTAAGCGTGGCTTTAAATAAGGGAGCCTTTAAAAGAAAAATTTAGGTGAGAAGGAACTTATGGGACACCCTGTATATCGAAGTCACACGGCGGCAAATTACATCGACATAAAAGCTTTGTTCTCTCAGCACGGTGGCGACATTGGTCAGATTGCGGCGCAATTTAGCTACTTTGCGTGGTCGTGACAGCTATTAGCGTTGGCGCTCCGAGATGCCAGTGGGCCGAGCCGGCCATTCGTAACGGCGATCCGCCAATTTCCGATAAGGACGGTCCAATCGGAGCCCGTCGGCGATACCGGCCAAATGAAGAGCTGCCGCGTCGGCAACCGGATGGGCCGCTCTGCCGCGAGGCGAGACAGAGTCGGAGTGGTTGCACGCGCTGGTCAGCTCTTCAGGTCAGCTCTGGTCTGTTCAGTGAGTAAGGAGTAAAGCTTGTGCATATAGCTATCATTTCTTCACATGCACATCACTGGTTTGAAAATTGCAGTCGACTTTACGACTCGAGGACACCAAGCTCACTTCTCCTACTTCTTTCTAAATGAAATGTTGGGTCTATGCAAATGATGCTAGCCATGTCTCTCGGGTACTTGACGCCGCTTTGAATGTAAGGTCGCCTTGGCATTTGGCATGCTCGTCCGCATTCCATTGGTTATGGGAGACCACTTCAGCCTCCTCTAACCTACCACTTATACCATTACCGTTTCAACTAACGGAATGCTCTTCAGACAATACCCCGTCACAAAATTGTTCCAGTCAATTCCGAACTATTTCAGCGCACCTGACCACGCTTCGGTACCTCTGCGGGAGGTCTTTAACCACTCTCTAACACCCCTACAAGCACCATCGCTGAGAGGACCGCCGAGCTTCTGATCCTGTCCCACTCCCCTGCCGTCTGTCCCAGCCCCTCTGAGCCGGCACTCGAAATCGACCCCTGCAGCACGCACCAGGGAATAGTTTTAGTCATCCCGCATTCTCACATGTCGGCACACTTGGTGTTTTTGTAGCCGAGTGCATGATATTTGCTGTGAAGAGGTCCTCTCTGTTCCTTCGTCAAGAACACGGCCGGGGTATTGTCTGGCGGAAGGTTGGGGTGAAGTTCAGTGCTCTGCGGGGGGATGGGGTGTAGTCACTGCCCTGGATCATTCACAAACCTGCCCTCACATGGCAGTTAAGTAAAGTAGCTTATGAAATAATTGTAAGGGAATGAGCTAGGTGCTAAGAATAACTTTGTAAGCAAAAGCATGCCTATTGATTACGGAAGTCTTTCACAGCCCTTATCAATCGTCCTTCTCGAAATCAAGTTATGCATCGCTGTCGATCGACTGACACCGAATGTAACACATTTCAATAGTCTGCCTTATTCGGGTTTCACGCTTTGTCATCCATTACTACGCAAGCACAGCACCGCGTAGAACTCGACTACCATTTCTGGACCGCAATGCACCCCTCTAGCCGTCCTGAACGGGCGTCTCCCCCCCCCCCAAACGTCATCACAAAGCTGCCGTGTAGTGTTCCGTCGCGACCGTCCCCTGTCCTGAATTCAATGCCGGCCACCCTTGGGGCGCTGTTTTTCCATGTGAATGGCGCCGTGTGTGGGAGGTTTTCGGTGACAAGTGTTCGCAGTGTGGCTGTGCCCAGCTGCTCCCGTTGCCGGCTTTTGTGGTGAGCCACAATGGGACCGCCGCAGGCCCGACTCGGCCGGTCGTGAGGTCATTTGCTTCCCTGGATGTGGTTCGCTTGTCTGTGTGCAACAAACTGCCTGGAATGTGACTACTCATTTAACGCTTTTAATTGCACGGGAACAGTGTGCGACACACATGTCCCCTTTAGTGTTGTGGCAAATACGGCGCCCGTCTCATGACTCGGTCAACAAACTGTCTTGTCAGGGCGGGCTCTTAGTAAGTACATTTTAGGTTCTATAGTCAGTTTTTCGTACGTATGGATTTAATATGGTTCCAATGATTTCATTTAGCTACCATCTGGATCTTACGATAATCCCGGTCATGAGATTTTGAGGCTTCATGGCCTCAACCGCTTACCCTTCTGGTAAGAGGTGACCCTGGTTGACTCATTAGCGACTCCACGGGGAGTCATTGTTTGGAGTCCGCCGCAGCCCGGAAGCCGGGAGTCGGTCGGGCGGCCTCCGCGCGCGCGACAAGCTGGCACAGATCGGCACGCGCGCTCGCTGTTTCGGGATCAATAACGAGCCGGCATATAGTACCCGTATGGCGGCGTTTTCACCTGCCTCCCAATCGGCAATGATTGGCGGAGTTACAGCGCACCTGACCGGCGCGAGCAGCCGCCGCACCGGCCGCCGCCGGCTGCACGGCGGCGCGTCACATTAGCGCCAGTC